TCTGTTTGCAGGGCATGCCCGCTGACGACCGCGCAACAGCAAGCAATCACCATTAGGGTGCTTGTCAGCAGATCGTTTCAGATACATGCTGGGGACTCCTTTGGTGTATTGCAGTCAACTATATCTCGCGTAATTGCCAGAGTATCTAATTGGTTTCATCAAAACAGCCACATCTTTGTCTCCTGGCACATCACGCCATCTCGTTTGGCGATGGAAAATCGTGTTTTGATGGAGACAGGATTGCCGGGCATCGTGGGTGTTATAGACGGTGCTCACGTCGGCATTCCGAATCTAGCATAGATTCATATTCTTATATCAACAGGTAATCTCGTTACCTATTGATAGTAGGAATGATATTCCTTACTTAGAAAGGGTTTTGCGAGCATTAACCTAGCGGCGATCGTAGATGACAATTACCGCTTTTATGGTTCTCAGCTCGTTGGCCTGGAAGAACGCATGATAGCCGAGTTTGGAGAGAAGCGGAACTATAGGTAACATTCAAAAAAGCACTATCGCTAATGGATTGCTTTAGATATCGAAAGATGAGAAGAAAGAGGCAGAATCGTAGGAGACTCCGCTTACAGAGCGGAGACGTATAAAAATGTTAAATAGATCAACACTGAGTACAGCGCGTGAGTCAAGTCTTATAAAGCACACCGAAATTTCAATTCCCACATAGAGAGGTCATATAAGAAAGCCATTTGTCTTTTTCGTGCCCAGGTGGAACAGGCTTTCGGACATTTGAAAGGCAAATCCATGCGCTTCAGGTCGGCCTTAGGTAAACAAATATCTTTTACCGAAATAGACAAAAACAATTGTTAAGATATGCACCCCAAAGGTCGTCTAGACATCGCTACGGCGGTTTGTTTCAATGCCGCTATAGCATTGAAAGAGCCACCGCCGTACGAAGACGAAGGTCTTGAGCTAAATTGGGAAGACGACGTAGATGAAGGTCTAGAAAGTGACCTTCGCACCGGGACCGATACAATAAACAATATTGTAGAACATTATTTCACTCAACTAGTTTATTATTCATTTTGAGTATTATTTCATCTGTTGATGCACTTTTTATGTAGCATATTTTTCTGCAATAAAGCTATTTCGC